CTCCGACTCCGACTCATCCGCATCCCGACATTTCTGGCCTTCTCGTTGGATGAAGACGTCCCAGTGTTGCAGGGTCTTGTCGATTCCCTGTAGACGCTCGTCCAGTTGCTCGGGTGTGGTCGACGAGTTGATCGCGCCCGACGTTGAAGCGCAACTCGCGGCCAAGGTTTTGCAGTCCCATGATCACGCGGTTGAGCTGCCGGTGATCAGTCCGCTGACGCATCAGCAGATTGGCCATCATGGCGGAGATCCCCGCGTTGCTGAGCGTTGGACCTGGCATTTCCGCTGGCGTCTCCGCGGGCGACTCCGCAGGAGCCTTCCTCTCAACCACCCTGGGCACCACAATCCGTGGCCCTGCAACCTTCTTCTTCTTCCCCTTCTCCTTGACCATCCCAGCCTCCTTCTCGTCTTTGCGGAATCGCAGCGGTGGGTTTCCGTCCTCGCAGCGGACCTTGAGCTTGCGGCAATTGTCGCAAGACAACCTCCCGTGCCAAGTCGTATTGGGCTTAGGTTCGCTCCAAACGCACTCCTTGCCCAGCTTGACACACTTGGCGCATTTCTCTGCCAAAACGGGTTAGGTTTATATTCTAAAGTCAAATTTTGCACTTACTTTCGTCCTCGACGTCTTCTGCACCTGACCTATCGGTCTGGGCCCTGTCGGCGTTCTCGGCGGCTTCGGGTATATCCGCCACCTCCTCGGCGACATCAGCCGAATCGGGCTCCACGGGCGAATCAATACGCCTCGTGATTCGGCGACCGATTCGGGCATCTGCCTCGGCTTCCTTGGCACGCGTCAGCGGCGCGAGTCTGCGCTCGCGGCGTGCGTTGACCCGCTCTCTGGCTTTTTTCGGCTTGGGCTCGGCGCCGTTGTTTCTGGTTTTCGGCTTTTTCGGCCTCGGCTCTCTGGCGTTGGTTCACAGCCGCCTGCTGGTCTAATGCGCGAAGCCGCTGTTGTTCGGCTGCCATCACTAGCAGCGCATCGTGATCTGCTGGTGTCCACACCATCGGAGCCACCGCGGACCCCGTGCTCCGACTCCTCCTCGTTGATCGGCTCGTTGTCGACCGGGTTGTCAGGATCATACGACTCCGACCGACCACCCGGTGACGGTGCTCGCGGAGCCGGTTTCCGCCAGTCGCGCGCGCAACTCTTGCGCCCTGCGCTCCAGCTCCTCCAACTCCCTCCGCATGTCTACGCGTCGGTTATTAACCGACGGTAACGCGTCAGCCAAGGGGTTCCGATCCGTTCCCCCAACCCAGCCTTCAACCCTTTCCGTCTCCGACAGCTCGTCTACTCGCTCCACCTCGGACTCGAAGAGATTCTTGGGATTCTTCTTGGATTGGCGTTTTGGCGACATGGTGGGTGTGGGTAAAGATGAAAAGATTGATGTCAATCGGTGACGTGCTTCTTGTCACCCCTTTCCTTTTCCGTCCTCCTTGCCATTATCACGTTCTCACCGGCTTCCTCGGTGATCTCGGCCTTTCCGGCTTTCGACTCAAAATTTTCACAAGTCCAACTCTGACTCCGACTCATTCTGATTCCGACTCCTACCTCTACGACCATTGCTCCTGTTTCTTGTGGGCAAGAAACGCAAGAGGGGGATACTGTTATATCCGTGCCGACTCCGGCATCCGTCTCCGATGTCCGTCTCCGGTATTTGGTTTTTACGCAATGAAGATTTACTGAGCGTTTCCAATTACTCCGACTTATGATCTATGCAATCATCTATGCCTTGTTCCTCGTATGCAACTCCTCTTCTACTTTACTTGACTTTGTTCTAATCTTGTTACTTACTTTGTTATACCTTATTCCGTTTCTGTTACTTCTCGTACTATAAATACTTTGATGTATTATCACGTACTTCAGTTTGTAAATTAACGTTGCTGGTCTCTATCTCCCAGCGTCGTCTCGACTCCGCTCTTCTCCTCTTGTCTTGTCTTGGTCAACTGGAAGCCCCGGTCACCCAATCATCCTTCTGTGGTGTTCCGCCCCAAGTGCTCTACGACTTCGATTCCGTCTCCAACTTCGACTCCGTCTCCGTCTCCGTCTCCGTCTCCGTCCCTTTGGTCGACACGGCACTTAACAGGAGCGCAATTACAGCGCTACCGAGCGGGAAGCTCTCGGAGCCAAAGAGGCGTTGGTGCGGTTTCAGCCATTCATAGAAGGCGAGACGGTAGTGTTGGTGACGGATCACGCCGCGCTCCAATGGGCCCGAAGTTTACGAAAATATGAATCGTAGGCTGGCAGCCTGGGGGGCGGTGTTCGCTGCATATCCAGGATTGAAGATTGTGCACAGACCAGGGAGGATTCATTCGAATGTGGACCCCTTATCGAGATTGCCTAGAGTCCACTCTCATGAATCCCCGATTCGCGACGAGGATCAAGCCATCATTCCGGACGAAGGCAAACAGGAAAGGACTCAGCGACTGGAGGAGCGGGGTCTCTTCGCGCCAGCGGAAAGAGCCACCTTCGCGGCAGGATGGTGGGAGGAAGTCTTGGAAAGAGCTACTTACGCCACGACTAGGAAGCAGAGTAAGGCCGCTGGAGTCCAGCGGCCTTCTCGGGCGGAAGCGGTGGAGGAACCTAAGCCGGCTGGATCCACCGTGTCTTCTTCTACCACCAGCCTCCTCCGCTTCATGACCAAACTATCCAGACATGCCAATTCTGGGTCGCGTTGCCTCTTGAAGCTCATTTGACCATCGATCGCTGCTACCTCCAAAGCTGGGACCCGTGCCAAAACCGGAGCGTTGAAGTCATATCGACTGGCCAGCATATTGTCATTGAAGTCTGCAGGGTCAATAATTGGAGTTGTTCCCAAGTCGGCCTTGAGAGGGGTCTGTAACTCGTGTCAGTAGAAAATCATTACATATACTCATTTGTTTCCAGACCTTCCATGAATAGTTGACAAGATCGCAGAATGCCTTCATCCGCATAGTGTTTGCACTCTCCTTGGTCCAAAGTTCATCTCCGAATATGTTATGGCTGATTGTATTCACAGAAATCATTCCACAACTGAACCCATCCGTCTGCACTGCATGGACCAAGTCATCCGCCCATACGAAGTCGCCATCAACATACTGCTTCAGCCAAACAAGGAGCGCATCAACAAATGGCTGTGGACGCTTCCATCCTAGGCTGTCGGAATAATGGACTTGGTGTTCTTGGATGTCGATTGAGCAAGTTGTCCAATGGTTCTCGGGGCGATACAAAACGAGGTATATGTATCGGCTGGTAGTGTTTTGCAGCCAAGTACCATGCTTTGCGAGGTACCTCTGTCCACTACGTGAATTTCGTATTGGGCCCATTGGGACGCCATCAACAATGGGATGGAACTGTGCTAGAAAGTCGGCGAATATGGTGCTCAAGACGAGTGTATGACTGTCAAGGTTCGGTGTCATGGAATCTTGTAGACGGTGTGCTTGGATAGCGAGAAGGCCATCGATGATCTCCGAAGACAGGTACCGTGAGGATAGCAGTGTCGCTAGCTCCCGTATACTGATTTTGAGTATAGGAAGACAGCCTGACCAGCTCAGGTCGTTGAATAGCAAGCGCAAAGCTGCCTGCAGTCGAATCTCGTCTGCCTGTTTACGCTGTTTCCCCACCCAGGCATTTGCTTGTAGCCAAAGCTCCTTTGCTTCTACCAGCTCAAGCATACAAGTCCAAAATGTCAGAGCCCATATTGGAAAATAAAAACCCGGGTTGACGGATAGATAGATGGTACTTTTGCCGCTGATCTCCGCCTCTGTATGTCCCGCTCGCAGGCTATTGAGAACTGAACGACAAGGCAGCAATAATAGGTCAAGATAGTTGGCAATATCGTGTGTGGGTGCTTGGTCGGAGAAAGAGCCAGAGGAGCCGTCATCTGTTTGTGGTGGTAGTTGGACAAGGAGGAGCTGAGAGATGGAGAGAGTAGGGGAGGGTATTCGCTCGGCAATGATACTGGGAATCTTGAGGCTGTCTTCTATCTCATCGTCGAATTCAATAGCAACAGAGTTGGAGGTCATAGTAGGAAAAAAACGGTGGGTATACCGGTGTGTTTAGCGTATCCATCTATATGTGCAGAATGATGGTCTCGTTGAGTCTATATGATTTGGTTTAAACAAAGCTTAATTTACAGTGGCCAAAAATATCATGTCCGAACTTGGATCCAGGCTCTGAGGTGCTTCGCCAGCTGTTGTCCGAATCTTCCTCCGACCTATCTCCAACTAGCGTCTGTATACATATTAAGTATACTGAATTTTTACATTTCATTCCATATTATAGGCTGCAACAGATCGAGAAACATTGAATATTACTGGCTCATACCATATTTTGACCCAACCTAATGATTCACTCTGAATGCCTAGCTGAATTATGTTGGCAAGTCTAATTGGTTGATTTTTTACCTGAAATTCATGTAATTTATAAGTCATGTTAATTATTTCTGTAGGGTTATATAGCTCTATAAGGTATAATTGATAATATGAAAGCATTCTTGAATTTTTCCGCATTTTTCCCACAATTATTCAGGTCAAAATGCAAGCTAAACACAGAAGAACAATCCCCGACTCTGTATAAGCAGAGAGGGTTTGGCAACATCGGATGTGCCATCCGTACGCCAACAGTTGTAGCTATTTTGATCTGGAATTTGAACAGAGCGTGGATGGCACTGGGAGGGTAGTCTATAGACCAGTATACTAGACCATAGACCTAGACCATAGACCATTGATCCCATCAAATAACATTAATGGCATGTCACATCCGATTTTGATAGACCTGATCTCATTCTGAGTTGGGATGTCGGCACAGACATCTTACCTGTTTTAGACACTTGCCTAATTTGTTCAGACAATAAACAACATGACCTCGTGACATTTAACCAACTTTTGCCACCTTTCCTGTCTTCCTTACTGCTTTGCACAACTACCTGATGCATTCACCCCTTGACTATGATGCCACAGTGTCCTTTATTGAGCTCCTCCGACTTCTCAAACCTTACTTGTCATCTCTCCAACCTCCAACAATGGCAGACCCCCCAGAGATTTTACCTTGGAATATTGTGGACTTTCTCTCTGATGTTCTGGGCATTTCCGGTGATGCTGTCCAAAACTCTTGGCTTTCCCTACGTACCATTGCGTGGGAACATGACTATCTTGCTGCGGAGGCGCATGCAGCTCGCGTCAAACATATTGAAGCATTCTTGCGCTACGGTCTGATCCAAAATCGTGGCCTGGGAATCTATTCACTGGAGCCACCAATGCGTACCTGTCCTGACCGGGCCTGTGGGCCCACTATGCGCAGTAATACTCATGAAGTCCTTGAGCGGGACCTTGTTGAGCCCAGCCGCCTCCAAGTCACGCTTTTCACACAGGAATTTGGACCAGTTCCGGGGTTTGCAAACTCAACATACTGCCGCAAATGCTATACACACTATTTTCACAACTATCACGTTCAAGGGAATGTCCGCCGATATTATATGCATGAAAACACCGACTTCATCCAAATTGGGACACATTTCTATGTTGAGCGGAGCCTCTGTGAGCTATTTGCTGTCATGATGGCTACAGCCTGGACCTCCTCAACCAACTGTGCCCGTATCTACCATGAAGGGATGGTGAAGTCTCACATCTCCAGTCTCCTCCCGGCAGACTGGCGTGTTGGTTTTGAAATGGACGTTAAAGCTGTGTCGAACTCATTCTTCCTACACTCACTCCTCCTTGATAATCAACGACGCGGCACCATTCTCGAGCTGCCCCATCAGGCATCTTCCCCAGCAGAGCGTCTCCGGCCTGCCCTCGAGCAGCGAAATCTCCGTATGGCAGGAACAGGACAGGACGAATGGAATCATGGATGTACCACTTGCTGCTGGTTTGACAAGAGAGATGACGGGACAATGACTGTTGTCCGCTCGACAGTAACCGATGGTGTCACGCTGGGCCGACCATGCTGTGGGGTCCATGACTGTCTCGAGCGCTTACCAAACGTCAAGTGTCGCTTCTGTAAAAAGCATGAAAACTTGGACAACATTTGCGCAGTCAAACAATGTTCCGAGACTGTGAGCAATGGTTATCGGACATGTGCCGAACCAACACATCGGTGGCTGGAGACTTATTATGAACTCGCTGGGAAGGGAATGTTTCAGTTAAAGCGCCGGCTACAGCGAGCACAGACCTCTCAACCTAACGATGCACTTCCCCTTGGTACCATTCTTGAAACCGACGAGGAAATTCTGGAGGGCGACGGAGCCGATCTCAATGAGCCTGTTGAGTTCGATGCATCAACTATTGTCTGCGACGGCAAGCCAGACACCGGAAACCGTGTTGTTCGTGCACGATTTGGCCGTTCAATGACTCATAACGAGGAGCTTTGTGTCTCTTCTTGTGGTATCATTCTTGGACGTGCAACATTTTATGGATCCGAAGCCCCAAATGCTGTCGTGGTAAGTCTTACTTCTATTACTGGTCAGCATATGTCTAATTCAGCGCCAGCAATTCTGGGAAGCTTTGTTTCCAACCAAAAAATCCCTCCCACAAGTCCTTTGGCACGACAACAACTGTCGTATTATGGCAATGCTACGAAATGAGCCCAAAGAACGACAGGACTACTTTGCAGATGTCGCAAAGCCCGTGGATGTTTTCCACTTCAAGTGCAAACACAAGGAGGGTGATTTAGATTGTGGACGGGACTGCAATGCCTTGCTCTGGCCTGAGCTTTCTGTGGACGGCAAATGGCGCTTCAACTCATCTGCGGCTGAACAGACAAATGCATGGTTTGGTGGGTTCCAATCCATCGTTCGCGAGATGCCCGTTGAACGTTATGAATTCTTCTTGGACGAGATGATTCGGCGTCGCAATATATGGATGGTCAAGTTGTTGGCCAACCGTGGATGCCATCCTCATTCAATTCCGCGTGAAGAGCTACTTGCAGATAATTAGAAACACTCATGTATTTGGAAAGGGTATTCGAAGTGTACAGAAAAAAATACAAATTGGTTCAAGCTACCTTACAGTGTCCTTTACTTCATTTGCAAGATTGCGCTGAACAGCATCACAGACTTCCATTTGACTGCCATCGGGATGCAGCACCCTTCCGAACTCGTAGGTCGCCAAAACAAGAGCTCTTGCCGCTCCGATGGTGATCCCACGATCTTGTCGCACAATTCGAAGGACAGCTTCCGGGATAAGTACTTCTTGAAGGAAAATGTCGTACAGGAGAGGTTTGCAGATGTCGATGAGGGAAAGTGTCCTTGGAAACATGGCCCGGACTGTAAGGGAGATGATTTCGTATCCTGGCTCACCATAACTAGAATGAAATGAGAATCCATGCGACAAGAGCAGGCATGACTTACTATGCTGCTCCAAATTTTGCTCGTCGCACATCTCCAAACTCTTGGGTAATGCTTGGGTTTTGCGAAAGGCGCATATGATCGTCACAAGATTCACGGAAGAATCTACTGTTGTCGATGTCTTCCAACAGCTCGTTCAGCACGGATTTGAGCCCACGCGTTCGCGAAAACAGGCTGGCAAAATCAGGCTGGAATGGCCAGTTCTCCGCATGCGCAGTCGGAAATGTCGTCTTCTCAAGATGGTGACGCAGACAAAAGTCCATGCGCTTCCGGAATGGGATCTCGCGATGACGGGGGTTGGCAGGATGCGGAGAGAGATCCGAAGCAGATACAAGTCCTGCCAATATTTTCTGCGATGTTGGAGACAAGACTTCTGGGAACTCTTCGTCACAGAATGGACACAGGTCTGAGGCAGTGTCCGGAAGTGGTTGCGGTGTGTCGAGGACGAGAGTGGGAAGTTCAATCGAGGGAGAGAGTGGAGAAAGCAAGGGAAACAGTTGAGAAACCATCAGACCATTGTCCTCTGCCGAATGAAGGAGCCGGCCAAATTCCTCGCTGAGTTGCAAGGTTTTCTGCGCTTGTTCGTAGTCCTGCGCGAGTGTCGACATGATTAGCGCAACCTGCACTTCTGGGACCAGGACTTGATGAATAAACGATGAAGCGGTGAGTGGTTGACATGCTGTTATGTCAATTTGATTCTTGTCGTGCGCGAAGTGGTCGTTGACGGCCTTGGAGATCTGGGCAAGCCCAATCGTTCCAAAACTAATGGCACATATGAGATGGGACCGTTCCAGAAACAAAAGAGTAACCTACTATCCGGGATGGCCATAAAACTCCGCGTTATGCAGTCGACGAAGAACGGCATTCGCAAAAGAACGGGCTTGCGTGGGGGTCTTCGAGAAGTGGCTCAATGACCTCCTTAATGGTGGCGGAGCTGGCAGAATACAACTCCAGATAGTCGATAGTCTCTGGCCACTTTTCGTCTCGCCCCAACGGCAACACCGTTGCTTCTGTCCGATGCTGTTGGCAGTAACTCTGAGCAGAAAGAACTCCTTGCGCCAGTTTTTCCCGCATTGCATGTAGCTTGGGTGACGGAATAATATCATAGGGTGCCTTGCAGGCCGGACAGCGACCGAACGGTGCACTGACAATCTCCTGGAAGACAGTTTCGTCGAATTCATCGAAGGTAAGTGACGGAGATGTTGGCTGAAGAACAAGTGTTGGATTTGGAATTGGAGATGTGTGTACCTGCTCAGCTGGAAGTGATGGTGGAGCTGGTTGCTGAAAGGTCGGTAGAGGGAGCGAAGCAATAGGCTGTTGAGCCATCAAACCAACCGCACCAGTAGGGCTGACACCACTTCGTGCCTCCAACAGAAGATTCCCCAGACTGGCTTCGGGTACCCGGCCCATCCTGTAGTAACGCTCTACAAGCTCGCGCGGGATGGCATTGATACGCTTTTTGTACCCTGCAACAGTCGGCTTTACATATGGAATTTGAAAAGACGACCGGGAAAGCGGTCTTGTCATATCGGTAGACAGGATGTCGCTGTCGTTCATACTGTTTGATTTGCGCCCAACCATCCTCCCATTCCGACACAGACAGATTTGGAATTGCGCGGGATTGAGAACCCGACACAATAGTGGGAGTGCGGGCGGCAAGGAAGGGCGTAGGCAAGGGAATCGAAGCTGTATTAGTCGGAGCACTGACAGGTGCGTGCTGGGAAACAGTGTGGCTGCTGCTAGGCGTGGGCATCAAGGCTACATTGGTAGGCAATGTGGTTGTTGGTTGCGTAGAAGGAATATGGTGTCGGATAGAATGACCGGCGTCGCTACCGGAAATGGTCTTGGCCACCTTTGGAGGGCTCAACGGGAGCTGCTCAATGGTCCCAAAATCATCGAGACGGCGTTTACGAGGGGAGCCTCGCGGCGAGAGAACTGCATGTGGCGGCTGTCGAGCAACAGGTTGCAGCTCAAGCTCCCTGTCCAGCCCTGGACAATCACAAATCGCCCACTCGTCATCCAGTGTTGGTCTTCGTTTGAGTAGAACCGCGCGGCCAGTCTCCACCGTGAAAACGCTGGACGTCGAAATTATCTTCCATTTCCCACCTTCGTAGAGGTCGAACATCTCTGATGGGCCCAAATGGAGCATCTCGAGAACATGGGGCACGTTCTCGAGTCGTAAACTGGGGTAGGTGGCCACAGAAACGGGGAAGCGAGCTGAATTGCAAAGTTTCTAGTATTTCGTAAACAAAGCACTGAGAAATATGGATGCGGCATACCTTCCAATGAATTACAAGCTCAACCTCAACTTTTCGTTGCGACTCCATCTCCAGCTTCATCGATTTAGCATCGACAACGGCGGCCGCAACTGCTTGCTGCGCATGAATTCGCTCCTGCCAAACCGGACTAATGGTCTGGGCCAGGGGCTTACGACGAGCTGGCGGACGAGCACTGCTGGTATCCGCCGCGGTAACACCGCTACGTGTCATTCGTGTTGACGATTCAGACGCTGGAACTGGCGTCGCTTCAAGAAAGAGGTGGTGGTCGGAAACTCCAGTGGCACCATGAGCTTTGCATGGATCGCGTGGGCGGCAGGGAGTCGTTTCAGATGCTTCGCGCTCTGCCTTCAAACAACAGCTCTTGCAGAGAAGGTCGATGCATTTGACAGCGCCGGCGGTGCGATTTTTGCTCCGTGTCAGACAATCTTGATTGCGACAGAATATACCTCCGGCTGGGTTGATTTCGGGGGCGGGATATGGTGGAGAAGGGCGTAATGGGAGTGATGAAAGGCGTTGAGGAATATGCTGGCCGCTAGATCGCAATTTGAAGCGCTCCACAAGGGCTTCGGCGTCGGCCCAGTGGTAAAAGTCGTCTGTATGGAACACGGTGTAGTGGCAGCGCGGGTTTGAACACTATAAAATGTTAAATCTCAATGGTTTGGGGTGGCAAACCACACGCCGCACCGTCTGAACAATTCGACCACGATCCCGGCGTCCATTTTTCGCGTCGTTGGTGCCATCGTGGACGCGGACGGGTCCCATGTGGCTGCCACAGCTGGGTTCTCCGCAAGTAGCTCGTGCAGCGAATATGGGGTCGGGTAGGGATGACATGGAAGGGTAGGGTGTGGGAGTGGGCAAAAGACACCCAGTCGCGCTTTTATACGCGTCCACGGTCGATGTCCAAGCACAGATGGCCAAAGCGCAGGGGCGCGTAGTGCCGGCATCGCGCGTAAGGTCTACATGGCGGTCTACGCGGAGGTCCAACGGTGGTCTATGGCGGAGGTCTACATGGCGGTCTTGAGAAAAGGTCTGCGTCACACGTCATGACGGCACTTACCCGATTAAGCCAGGTCTACTGATGGGGTCTGGTAGACCGGTCTATTAGACCGGTTTACCAGACCACCCTCCTTACGAACGGAACGTTCTCAATTTGAATGGAGATCAGAATTGAGTTTTTCGGGTCACGCTATGTGTGATGCAGCGGGTTTCGAAAGGGTAGTAGAGAGCTTGAGGAACACCAGATAATAGAGAACCTCGAGGTCGCTGGAAGCCAGCGACCTCGAGGTCGAAGACCATAGGCGTACGGTCGGACGGAGAGGTTTAGAGAGCTTCTCAGCTCTGCCGTCGAGGCCACAAACGAGGATAGAACAGAGAGACGATACGAGTCGAAGAGATGGATGAAGTTACGAGTCAAAGTTATAGCGCGCGTGACTTGCATCACGCGCGCCGGTATTTGTAAGTACATCAGCTATTATCTAAGTGTAGTCGATTTGGAGTGTCCTTTAGTGTATATACGCGTCACAGAGCCCCCCACACTTCTAGCAACTACCTTCGTCCTATTCCTCCAGATCCATGTCAGTCACTTCTTGATCGACCGCACTACTCGCATGTTGCCCGAATATCGAAGCGGCATATCCTTGCAGCATGAACGCCGGCGGTGGCAGTGATAGGTCAATTGCTATTGGCTGAGCTGGCGGGAACATAAGGGGGGAAGGACCCATCATCTGGCCTGCCGATGGAGGCGCCAGGGCAGCTGCTGTTTGAAAGGTTGCCGGCTGTGGCGGCAGCGGCACCGGAGGAGCAGGCGGAGGCACTGGATGAGCAGCGGTAGGAGGCGGAGGTACGGCCACTTGAGCTACTAAGCTGGCAGCTGGGTCTGAAATGTTCGGTGCCGGCAGCACGGCGGTTGATGCGGATGAGCTGGCCCCGGCATTAGGCACTATCGGCGAGTTGGTCACTAGGTCCCATCTGCCTAGGCGAATTTCCCGCTCGATGTGCCTCCTCTCGTCGCGGGTTGCGTCTCGACGGCCCCTTTCTCGGTCCCGACCCCGCACTCCCCGTAGCCGGAGCCGTCTGGGATCCAGCCGTGCTCGGTGGCTGCGCCTGACTCAGTGCTTCTGTTGAAGGGGGCTGGACGTGAGGGTCCTGGGCGTCCGCGACTTCCGATCCCGATTGCGAGCCGAAACGCCTTCTTGTTTCCGGTATTTCTAGGGCGTTGGGCAGCGAGGGGCGCCAGGGCAGAAATCGCCTGTTTACCGGCGACCCCAGACGATTCAAGAGGCTGTTCCCGTTGGGCGGGGCGCTCGTCGTT